ACATGTCATAATCCTGACTAGCTCTGGGATGCACCTTTATGTTCACAGTGCAGTAACTTTTTAGATAAAGAAAAAGGTTTTTACAAGGGTGAGTCTCCAAAGGAAGGAAAAGGAATCTGATTCCTTTTAAAATCTGAACAATCTCTGCAGTTTCACTCTCTTGACAACATACTGTGCTAAGATCTGAAATCCTTTCTTCAGAGACTCCTGGCAGAACTATCTGTGCCCACCACAATTCTCTCTTTATAGCCTGTGTGCTCCTCAGCCTGGGGTATCTGATTCTTTAAAAAAAACCAATTCACTTCTGAGCTTTTTTAGCCAAAAACGCTTTTAATTTTAATGTTGAACTGTTAGTGTCTCTTGATTGTGGGGGGGGGGACATAAATAGCAAAAACACTTAATGCAGTCATTTAGAATATGACTTATGGCAGATATGCAGGCACTGTCTTCAGAAAATTAAAGGAATGTTTGATCTGTGGTATGGAAGTATTTGCACAATTTTTGGAGTCAGGATCTCACAGCACAGAGCCCAGGCTGACTGCCCTCACCTCTGGAACGCTGCTTTTACAGATGTGCACCACCTCATCCACCTCCGAAGTTACACTTCTCAATCAAGAAGAAAACATTTGATGGGCTACAGGATAGAGAGTTTATAAAAATAACCTTTCTATAAACTCAGCATGATGCAAAATATACTACTCCACATAATTAAAATAATATAGATTTGATTGAAAAATAATGGCTGAGGGTTATCATGTGTATAATTTATTCTATGGTTGTTGTTTTCATAAAGTTTTTATTTAAATTCTATCTGGAAAATTTTAAGTGCCCACAAGGTAACTTAACAGAAGAAGCTCATACTAAGTTCTTTATAAAGCTGAGTTAATGGCAGAGTTTTCTTTGTAGCTCAATTATTTAACATGGCATTGTTGTTGTTGTTGTGAAGACAGGGTTTCTCTGTGTAGCCCTGGCTGTCCAGGAACTCACTCTGAAGACCAGGCTGGCCTCGAACTCAGAGATCCTGCCTCTGCCTCCCAAATGAAGGGATTAAGGCGTGTGCCTCTACAGCTGGCCGTCCTTAGTATTCTTTCAGAACACAGCACTAGCAGTCTTATCATGAAGTCAAACATCTTGTTACTACAAACCTAAGTTACAGCAAGTCAGAGAACTGGAAACTGTGTTACCTCTCATTCAGCTGTTCTCAGAGAACAGTAATTTTCATTCTTCCGTGCAGGAGCAGGAGACTAAACCCAGGGACCTGTGCACAGCAAGACGATCACTCCACTGAGCTGTCCGCCCCAGAGGATGATGAACTCTAACAATACTCCCTAATGTCTCTAACAGATACGTTACATAATTGGAATTATTTTTATTTTATATATACATATATACATACATACATATAAAACTTCACTCTGTAAGTGTGGTGTATGTGCACACTGTTGTGTGTGAATGTGGCTGCTCACATGAGGAGGTCAGAAATCAACCCAGGTCAACTTAGTGCCTGCCTTGCACCTTGTTCTGATACTGGGTCTCTGCATGCACCAGGCTAGCTAGCCCATGGGCTGTCTCCACCTATCATGTCCCCGTAAGAGATTACGCTGGGATTACAAACACTTGTTCTGTACCCAGCTTTTCTATGAGGTCTGGGGATGCAAACGCAGACCCTCACGATTACATGGCCAGCACTTTTACCAACCCAGCCAATCCTCCCCAGCCTTACCTAATATAAAAAGAGACACTATGAATATATTCTTATTTTGCTGTTTTTTATTTAAATTACTGTATAAAATATACTTTTGTTAAATATCCTTAAATGAAATAATGAAAATATTAGTTAAGTTGTACTAATGAAAAGGAAACCTCAGTTGTTTTTTATTTATTTTTTTTAAAAAAAGCTACCTCAACAGGTGGGTGTGATGATTAAAATAAGTTACTGCTGAGGGCCTCCTCACACACGGCGGGCAAGCACTCTACCACTGCTAACTTAACCTCCTCACACACGGCGGGCAAGCACCCTACCACTGCTGACTTAACCTCCTCACACACGGCGGGCAAGCACTCTACCACTGCTAACTTAACCTCCACAAAGCACTGGGCACAACAGAGCCCGGAAACTGTTCAGTCACTGTGATGCTGTTGTTCTGGGCTTCAGTGTCGGGTACAAGTGCCAAAGTCCTTCGCTGGAGTTAACACAACAGTCACAGAAACAGCACATAAACTTCACACAGAGGCACGGTTCTGGCCTCCCTGATTCAATAGAATCCGTTCACTTTCTTGTGCTCGTATTAACCACCAGAACTACACACACAGAGATAACGAGAACGAGAACGGACGGTGTGCTTCACTGAGGTGTCAGCACACAGTGATAACAAGAATGGACGGTGTGCTTCACCGAGGTGTCAGCAGAGGTCACCCACCTGTGCAGCTCTTCTGTTTTGTCTTCAGTTGGACCTACGATTAGTAAACAATGGCGAAGGACAGCTGCCATGACACGGAACTGATGAGAATCACCCTGCAGTAGAGAAAGAGAGGAGAGGAGAGTTGGGGTTGAAAGCCTTAACGGAGGAGTCTGGTGCAATAACACATCACCGTGCCCCAAACTTTCCTCTGCCACACAGGGAGACGGCAAGATATTCCAAAATTTCCAAAGCAAATCATTGCCATTCCACATGAATTAATAGCCACAACCACCTGCAGAAATGGCTGGTGCCAGTTGGTGTTGATCTAGCTACCCTGTTTTATGTTTCTGAAAACCCAGTTCCACGTAAGAATTTCCATAGTCTAGTCTTTTGTTCATTGGAGTAGACCATGCCAGTTTACCAGCCTTACAAAAGTTCAGACAGACGTGAGCTCTATTGAGACAGTTCTTTTATAACTGGTTGTCCGCTTTTAACGACTGTTTCATCTCTTAGCTTTCAAAAGTCATGAGTACAACAACAACTCTGAGATAGGGTCTTGCTATATAGACCTGTGAACCTCTGAGTACTGTGCTAGCAATATGTATATACCACCATGGATGGCCACCCATTTCATTTTTCTCCATCTTTTTAACCTCTCAGGCCCCACATAGTACCACAAATGGTCAAAACTGTATATCCCCTTCATTTCCCCATACTTATTCTTGTCAGTGAATTAAAGACACAGAGCTAGAGAGGAGACCGACAATGAGAAATAAACCAAGTTCTGAATAATTACTTCTTTTACCTCTGCTACCTCTGTATCTATAATGAGGTCGTGGGCCATTACAGTTTCCTTTTCTGATGTATGTGTGTGTGTGTGTGTGTGTATGTGTGTGTGTGTGTGTGTGTGTGTGTCTGTGTGTCTGTGTGCAATGTACATGCATATGTGCTGTGTGTCTACATGTGTGCACACTTGTGTGCAGAGGCCAGTGGTCGATTTTGGATGTCTTCCTTTATTGCTCTATACTTTATTTACTGAGGCAGTCTCTCATTGAATCTCTAACTCACTTAGGGCTAGTCTAGTGAGCCAGCTTGATCCAGAGAGCATGTCTCCACTACTGGGGCATGAAGACTACAGGCGGGCTGCCACACCCACTTGGCTCTTATGATGGTGCTGAAGAGCAGAAATCTGGTCCTCACGCCTGTACAGCAAGCGCTTTACACAGTAAACCATGTCCCTAGCACAACTACAATACATTTAACCACCTGCATCAAGGTCCTCTATACATAATAAAGAGGACACAGCAAAGAAGAGGTAACTATGATAGACTGGATATGTTACAGAAAGTCTCTTAGCTAATTGAGAAGTAATAATTTTAAAAGGTTCTAAGTATATAAATAAGTTCACATAAAGTGAAATACGTGTGCATTTATTAAACACACACGTAATTCACAGTCTTTCAAGATTCCTCTCTCAGACTCTAACAGATAATAGGACACACTTTCATTACTCATAACAAGGCTGGAAAACACTTTAAACAAACACATCACTTAGAGATTTGAGACAGATGAAGGCCTCAGTCACAGAATGGGACAGGGTTACACCTGGAGTCAAGCAGGAGTCTAGGTTATGACCTCACATCAGTCACATGCCACTCATCTCCAGTCTCTTCCCACATATTCCCACAAACATCAGGTTCTGTGAGGATGATAGAAAATGGTGTGCATAATAGGACTATAAAACTCTGTATAAAATATGAAGGTGAGGGGGGAGGGGAGGAAGAAAATGGGGTGCTAGTACTGAATCAGTGCGGAAAAAGCAACTGTGGGAGCGGAGGTGAGTGGGAACCAAGGGCGATGAACTGGAGGGCCGGAACAAAGGCTGTCGCATTCACCACCCGGCCTCAGTTCTTGAGTGAAAATTCTCATAAGTAAGTGTTCTCTTACTTGCCCTAAAGCACATGAAGCCTACGTCAAACTAAACTACTACTTAACCATTGATAAGATTATCTCTTATAAGAGGTTATATATAAAATATACATATATTAGCCGGGTGGTGGTGGCGCACGCCTTTAATCCCAGCACTCGGGAGGCAGAGCCAGGTGGATCTCTGTGAGTTCGAGGCCACCCTGGGCTACCAAGTGAGTTCCAGGAAAGGCGCAAAGCTACACAGAGAAACCCTGTCTTGAAAAACCAAAATATATATATATATATATTAATAAATATGTATTTATTAAGATATTAATAAATATATACACATTAAATATATGTATGTTTAACAGATAATAATAGATATTTATACCAGGTGTTGGTAGCGCACACCTTTAATCTCAGCACTCTGGAAGCAGAGGCAGGTGGATCTCTTCTGAGTTCAAAGCCAGTCTGGTCTTCAAAGTGAGTTCCAGGACAGCCAGAGCTGTTACACAGAGAAAACTGTCTTGAAAAGAGATCTCTTGCTCAGCTGTGAAAACTGGGTAGCACCCTGGGCTTTGCCTAAGCCAGTGAACCCCATCTCCAGATCTTGCTTCATTGTGACAGGGTCTCACTACGTAAACCGGGCTGTCCTTGAACTCACGTCCTGCATTGCTCCTGCTCACTGCTAGAGATTACAGGTGTGCAGCCCAACACCCAGACTGTTTCCTTTTAAAGCAGACAGCCCTCTGTTCTGGAGGTAACAAACTCTGCTCACTGTGATCATGACAAGCCTCTTACAAAACTATCCACGTGGTCTTTCCCCAATCTGCAACTGCAAACAGCTCTTTCCAGCACATTCCCTTCCTTCCATACCCCTTGTTCCCAAGCTGTACTTTCTGTCTGCAATGTCCCCTTGACCTTGCATCTACTTAAGTCTCTGTGTCCCTGTCCGGAGCAACTTCTAAACATGGGCCGGGCTGCCTCTACTTTCTGCTGTTAATTCCTTTTTGACCCCCAGGAAGCTCCTTTTTGGGTTACCTGATCTGTATCATTGTGTCTTGTTAAAGTTTCTTTTGTGGGATAATCTGGTGTTGCACATATTTAACTAAATTTTCATATACTTCCTCCACTGATTCTCTTCACGAAGACAGAAGGCCTGTGTTTAAATAGGTGAACAGTCAATTCTACTCCAAGTGTCCAGTTTACTATAGGGAAAGCATCCCAAACTCTACGTGTACAGTCGAACGACTTTTCACAAAACGAGTAGTGATCATAAGCACCATGAGACTCACGCAATGCCAGTATTAAGAACCCCCGAACTCTCCTAACTGCAGACAGCATCCTCCGAAACCCTAACTTCCAACACCACACTAGTGAGTTTGGTTGCCCCTGAACTTGGTTTGGCTGGACTAGAACAGACTCGCGGTTCTCCGGCTGAGACGATCTGTATTGGCTGTAGTGGAGTGGTTCTTTCTGGTGCTCGACAGCTGTGCTACTGAAGTGCTGAGCTGACCCACCCTCATCTGTCACAGCAGCAGCATGGGAGCCTGAGAGACGACGCTCTGAGCAGTCGACATCATGCCTGACACAGGACATGGAAGACTTCCATTCATATGCAGGCTGCCCTTTTTCTTCACAATAGCACTGCTACCATGAGTGCACTGAAGACATTTCATCACAGTGTACCTATCCGCCCTCCTCAATGGACACTTTGTTTCCTGTCTGGGGTATTTTGAAGACTGCCGCCATCAATGCACTTGTTACATGTCATCTGGAATGTACTGGGTTCACTGCCACGCCCAGGAGAGGGAATGCTGCATCATGGGGACTGTATACACATAACACTTTACATTCTCAAGTTTTTAGAGAGCACTGCCAAGCAGTATTTCCAAGCATACAGCTAGGAGACTCCTCACAAAGTGGGCACCCCACCCTCCGCAGCCAACTGCACACTCTTCCCAGCTGCAGGGTCCCGACTGCACACGTGCTCGCTTCTTGGTGTAGCATGTTGAGATGACAGAGCAGAACCACGTTGTTGTTCCCGGTCACCGCGCAGCTCTTTGGACAGCTCCCACTGAAGCCCTTTGCCTACTTCACCGCGGGGCTGACCGTGCACGGATCCGCAGGCACTCTCAGTGTGCTCAAGGCGCTGTGCTGCAGATCTCTGTCCTTCACCGGATGCCTTGTTAGACTGCCTTCCGCCTCCTGCATGCTGGGGTTCCAGGGGCCTATTCCTATCCTTGGCAACACTGTCATCTTTTGAACTGATTGACTGATGGATGGATTTGTTCGTTTTTTTGAGACAGGGTTTCTTTGTGTAGCTCTGGCTGTCCTGGAACTCACTCTGTAGATCAGGCTGGCCTTGAACTCACAGAGATCCATCTGCCTCTGCCTCTTGAGTGCTGGGATTAAAGGCGTGTGCCACCACTGCTTGACCTGAATTTATTTTAATCAAGGTCAACTGCTCAATTTTCCTTTATGGTTTGGTCCTTATTTTATATTCTTTAGAAGTCTTTGCTTAGTTCAGAAATGTTTGAATTGTTTGAGATAAAGCTTTAATATTTCATTTTTTATATTTGGATCTCTCTTCTAACTCAGGTTAATTTTTTAAAATCTATTTTCCCATGCACTTGAACTAGTATCATTAACAACTTTTAATCCACAAAGAGCAGGGGGCCAGAGAGATGGCTGAGCAGGTAAAAATGCTTGTCTTAGAAGCCTGATGACATGGGTTCCATCACTGAATAAGGTGGACAGAGAACCAATTCCACAAAGCTGTTCTTTGATCTCTGTTATGTGTCTGATTGAATGTGTACAACACCCCTCCCCCAACACACACACACACACACACACACACACACACACACACACACACACACGTCTTATTTACTGTCTCTCTGATCAGACTTGCTGTCTTTAGGACGACAGTAGCTTCATCTCTCCGCTGAAATGACACGACACCCCAGAAAGAGAACAAAGACAGGGAGGAGAGCGAGGCAGGCAGGCAGGAGTGTGACAGGGAACTGAAGACAGGACACTGAGGCCTCCTCCGCATCGTCCCTCCTGGGTCAGAGTCTAAGCATTTACTACCCCTCCCTCTCTCACGCAAACTGGGCCAGACCCACTTTAGGAGCAGAAACAGTCATCCAAAGGCTGGCCTAGCTGACCCATGCCTGAGA